AAAAGAAATGATTTTTAAAAATATACACAAGGAGGCATTATTGAAGGAAAAGGGGACAGTTTAGAATAAAGGCCCACCAGGTTATCTCTCTAACATATTTCTGTATTGTATTCCCCAAGTACCTATATAAAACTACTACTTGTATAGTTTTGGTGCCCATACTACTCAATTATCAAGAATATTCTGGCTTAAACCCCACCCCACCCCCAACATACGAGAAAGTGTTAATCTGTTCTATATATTATATATACTCTTACAAGCATGACAAAAAAGCAGGAAATGATAGTTATATACTAAGCCTTCTATCATATAATTTTTTTCTCAGAAATCTTTTGCCTAATTCTTACTAGGCTAAAATGACTATTCAAAACAAACCAATTCCTTTTTTCAGATTTAAAAAAAACCACATGGTGTTATTTTGTGCAAATATTTGCTTGAAATATGTCAAAATCAAATTCAACAAACAGGTTTCATTATTGCCACCTGTGTTGAAAGAAAAGATTTAACCATACATGCATGGGAACATATTAAAAGATTTCTCCAAGAACATATTCGTGGTTCAAGTGTGGCTTTATTGACCCTATTTCAAGCAACCTTGGGGGAATAATTTGGATTCCCAGAGATATTGGCTCACCTTTCATATACAAAGTATTGTGGCTATGGATAGCAGATCTGGGTTGCAAAAATGTGGCTACTTGATGGCATAAAAAAATATCTTTGTTGCTATCTGAATCTTGATTTATCATTACCTACAGTAGGTGCATAATACATTTGAAATCTCTACCCTTACCTATACTTTCTCTTTTGTCATCCATTGCTATTATGGGGTACAAAATGATGGGTTTTACTGACTAGGTTCTCTGTTACTCCATTCCCCTTCCTCTCAATACTGTATTCAGCAAAGGCTTTTGTGTTCACATTCTATTATAACCCAACAAGAGATACATCTAAGCGGAGCATGTCATTCTGCTCAAGTCTATCTGACTGGCAAACCAGTCTTCATTTTCTGTCTGTTATTCTTACCTTTATAACCAAACTCTGCTATGTATGTAAAAGAAGAATGCCCTTTATTTATTAGAGGGAGGAAATGAATAGCTGAGTTTGTGTTAAAACATTTAATATGAAAGTAGAAATCATATTTGAGTCTAGATTATGATGCAGGCCATTTATAGTTCAGTGTCCGATACACAGTTGACTTGATCAAATTCTGTAAACACAGGTATTCTATATGCAGAGGTGGTATTGCTCATTCTCAAAATCTAGCACACTCCCCATTTTAGTATTAATACAGACAAGCCTCAATTTACAACCATTTAACCATTTGGCAGTGCTGAAAAAAGTTACTTACAACCAGTCCTTGCATTTATAACCCTGCAGTCACATGATAAAAATTCAGGCACCTGGCAACTGGCATGTAGAGGTAGTCCTCGACTTATGACCACAATTAAGCCCAACATTTCAGTTAAGTGAGTTTTGCTCCATTTTACAACCTTTCTTGCCACAGTTAAGTGAACCACTGCAGTTGATAAGTTAGTAACACAGTTGTTAAGTAAATCCGGTTTCCCCATTAATTTTGCTTATTCAGGTTATAAAAGGTGATCATATGACCTTGGGACATAGGAATGGTCATAAGTATGAACCAGTTGCCAAGCATTTGAATTGTTATCACTTGGCCATGTGGATGCTAAAAAAGTCTTAAGTGTGAAAAATGACCCTAAGTCACTTTTTCAGTGCGATTGTAACTTTGAACCATCACTAAATGAACTGTTGTAACTTAAGGACTACCTGTATTTAAAATGGTTGCAGTGTCCTGGGTCACATATGATTGCCTTTTCCCAACCGTCCCTGGGATTTTCTAACAATCAATGTCAATGGGGAAAGTCATGATTCACATGATTCACTTAGCAACTAGTGGCTTGCTTAAAACCTTAGCTAAAAAAAAAGGGTCATAAAACCAGACACAACTCACTTAAAACCTGCATCGCTTAGCAATGAAAATTCTGGTCCCAGGTGTGGTTGTAAGTCAAGGACTAACTGTAAGCATGATGAAGTTAGGCTGTTGAATTCGAACTGAAAACCCTGGTTTAAAATGCCAGTGCTTCAATAACTATATATATTCATGATTGGGCCAGTCATAGTTTCTCTCAGCCCAATCCATTTCACAGGATTATTGTTGAAGGGAAATTAGGAGGATGAACTTGTGTTGGGTATATGTCCACTGTCTTATTTGTAAAACACTAAGGTATAAAAATAAGTAAATTGAAAAGACCAGTTTAATCTAGTAGTTACAGCGCCAGGAAAGTGAGTTCTAGTTCCACTTTAGGAATAAAAGCCAGCTGGGTGACTTTGGGCCAATCATTATCTCAGGTCAACCTACCTCACAGGGCTGTTGTGGGGAAAACAGGAGAAAGAATATTAAGCATGTTCACTTTCTCATTTATAAAAAATAAAATAAAGGCAGGATAAAAAAGCAAAAATTGCTAATAGGACCTCTGGGTTGAAGACCTGATGCTATTTGCATTTATGAACAAATTGCTCCTATTTGTACATTAAGTATGAGTGATTTCAGTGTTACATGGTCATCTCTTATTGAAATTATTTTGCTCATCACTCTTTTCTATTTTCATTTTTAATTAAATAAAGGTAAAAGAAAATAGTAAAGTAAAAGAAAAAGAAAGCCTATGTGGTTGATAGGGGTAAAAGACAGCTTGATGGTACATAATCAAAACAAAAGTATGTTAATTAAACAATCCTATATTTTCATTCAAAGGCAGGGCCTACTGATTTTATCTTTGATAAATGGGTACAAGATTAATAGCTCAGAGATCTATAAAAGTCATGAGATTTTTTGCATAAACTATCTTAGTGTTCAGCATATGAAATAAACTAGAACAGCCATTAATGTAACTCTGAGATAGGAAAAATCTAACCAATTACAGATTAATCTTATTCCACTCTTCAGTTAATTCTACAGAAAGTTTTGCATTATTCTAATTGTTCACAGATCAGTATCTCTATACAGAGTTAGAGGTCCTAAGTGTCAGTTTTCGGCACTTGTGGATTTAAATTCTACCTCAAGTCTTTTCAGATACCTTAAACTAAACCTTTGCCAGTAGAACTGTATTTATTTTGCAGTTTCACAGGAGTGTTGCAAGGCTGATCTGCATAACGCAACTGATCTGAACCAATTTAGCATTGGCTTATACGTGAGAATGCCCAAATCCCGTCTCTAGCAAATTCCCTATCCATTGTTAAGGATGCCCTTAGCTAAGTTTATCATTATCTCTCCCAGCCTCTTCAAAGGACAATCCCACGGACACCACGGGGAGCAAAGTTGGCGACAAACCAGATGTGCACGTGGGGAAAAGCCCCATCCGTATGCAATGTATGACTAGACACCTCCCACCCACCCAATATCTCCCCAGCCGGAGTCTTTTCTCAAGCTGAAAGCCCGGGCTCCCCCCGCCCCCCGAAACACTGCCCTCCTTATCCCTTTCCACCTCTTCTTTCCTTTCTCCACGTGGTGCAGCAAACGAGGGCGAAACAGCCCTGGCAGCGCCTTGACCCAGGAACGGTTCCCCCTTCTAAACTTCCTCCTCCCGCAAGATGCGTCTCTTGAGTTGCAAACCCCATTGCAAACTTCGGCACTCTTGGTGCCAGCCCCCCCCCCCCCCGGCCACTCAACACCGGCCCTCCGAGATGCGCGGGGATGGACGTAGCCACCACGCGCGCCCAAGAAGGATGGGCCAAGATCTTTTAGCGCCACGGGGCTCGTTCCGTTTCCCGCCTTCTGACCGCGGCTGGGGAGCAGGGAGGCAGCCGGGGAGGAGTCCGGCTGGGCAGGGAGGGCGTGAGGGTAAAGGAGAACAGACTGGGCAGCTTCTCCTTGGTGGGGAGTCCGCGCCCAGGAGACTCCCTGAGAGCCTCCCCTCGCCCTAACGACAGGTTACCCTCTCCAATGGCGCAGGGCTTCCTGGGTGTCTGAAGCCCTAAAGCAAAAGGCGGTGGGTGGGCGGGCAAATGGAAGACCCTTCCCCAGCCTGAAAAGAGAGCTATGTGGGAAGATCATGGAGTGGGGGGGGACACCTTCTTTTCCCTCCCCCGTTGCAGGGTAACTCGAGATTCAGCGCTTCCCCTTATAAAACAAAGGACGGGGACGCAGCAGCCTGGGCAATTGGGGTGGGGGGCTTCCTTCCAGGACGGGGTGCGCGGCGAGTGTTAATCCCCCTGAGCAGGAGTGGGTGAAGCTGCCGAAGAGGAACGGCTCCACGAAGGATGCAACCACTGGTGGAAAATAAGTCCTGTGTGTTGTAGCGGGACTTCCTCTTGAGGAGGGGGGATTTGATTTTTTTTTTATTCGCCCGTGCTCTTTCCAAGGCGGCTTAAAAAAAGACTGTGAATGCCATGCCAAGATAAACATGACATGTTTATAATTCATATTTAAATATATAAATTATTATAATTAATATAACTACAAATAGTGTGTGTATAGTGTGTGTGTGTGTGTTAAAAAAATAGGTCCCCGCCCCAAGTCGTTTACAGAGTATGCGTTCCTGTGTATTCACATTACTTTTATTAACCACCTTGAACAACTGCTTCACAGACCGTTTATACCTACAGGATCCGTCCATTTATGTAAAACAAAATGCAAAAAAAAGTCTCCACCTTCACCCCCCCCCAAATAAGGGGGGGGCAGGATTGTACAAACATAGCCAAATTTTGCTTTCTAATTTTGCCAAGGATGTTGCCCAGCTGGATTGTAATCATGGTATGGTAGAGCAGCTCAGATTCTCTGCATTGTCTTCCTTTTTCCTTTCCTGCTAAGCCCCTCTTCCTTTGGCATCTGGAGAATGAAACCAAAAGGATCAGGTGTGTATCCCGTTTGTGTGTGTGCGTGTGTGCGTGTCTTTGCGTGTCTCAGGAACCAGCCTCAAAAACTCCCAATAGCCTCCTCCCTCTTTCCCTCCCTCCTTCCGAATCCCTCCTTCCTCTCTTCTTTCTCATTCAAACGCAGCAACTCCTGTTGTGTCAGTTTTATCTTCCACTACTACCAGCCACTACCACAGCCACTTGGCAGCGGAGAATCATAAAGGTAAAGGCATTTAATATTCTAAAATAATTACCCTTAAAAAAAAAAACTCTCCGTATGACCCTGCATTTCTTCTTTTTTCTTTCCACCTTCCTGCAAAGCGAGGGAGGTAGAAAGATAGATGGGGAAGACAAACATTCAGCTCCTCTTGCTTCCTCTAAACTTCTTAGTGTTTGGTGATTTAAAAATAATAATAATAATACGATTTTGCCTCGCTTGCTTCTGCCTCTCAATTCTCTCTTCCCCCTTCTCTGCCAATCTCCCAGTCGGTGTTGGTGAAACTTCCATTACATTTCTATATAGGTATTTTGTTTTCAATATTCAATATGCTTAATCTCGAATGGGGGAGGGGAGGGAAGAAGGGAAAGGGAGGACCTCTTTGTGACTCAGGGATGTTCCTGGAAGCAAGATTTGTAATGTGTTTGGCACAGATGGGGGGGGGGTTGCGGGGGGCAGATTTGCTAATGAGAAGTTTATTGATCCATTTTGTCAGTTTCGTTTTCAGGGCTTCCTGGGCGGAATTGAATCTGCTCTCGAGGTGTTTTTTTTTTAATTATTGACGATTATAGAGATCATTTGGGGGGGGATCTTCCCTGCTTACACTTTCAAAAATAAAATAAAACTAGTTGACTCCAATAACAATAGCTCCGCTGGGAGAAGAGGAAAATAACAAATTCACAAAGGCTGACAGAATGATTTCACTTCCATATGTTGATACCTCTCCCTACAGGGAGGGTTGCATTAATTTCTTAACTGATTGCGTCTTCACTTGGGGTGCGCTTGCTTTTTTGTTTATTTGACTTGCAGAAATTGGTCGCCAAAAGCAGCCTTTCGATATGCAATCCCATAAGCCCCTGCTCCCTTACCCCCCCCCCCAATGAATCCCCTTGTGAGTATAGTATCTGTATTGAAGTTTAAGAGTTTTTGAAGTAAGAGCTATAGGAAAATTGCCGGTCTAGTTTGTTTGTATCTAAATTTGCAGATAATTTGGGTTTTTCTTCTGTAGAAGCTCTGTTGCCCAAAGGAGTTTGGGGTGGTGGTGGTGAGGAAATTAGTTTTCTATCCTTTTTTTTTTAAATGCCCTTTCTGAATTGACCTTGGAACCTTTAAAATTTACAGCATTTCCAATAGGGAAGGTGTTATTTGAGCAGGAGGAATACAGTACAGAGGGAAAAGCAAAAAAAAAGAAAAAAGGAACTTAAGCCTGTAGACAAAGTAATTCTTTTTACAGAAGAATGTGAAAAGGGAAGTTTCTATAATGTGAAGGAGCAGAAGGAAATAACACACTTTCGAAAATGTGAAGGGGGTGGGTGGGAGGACTCCTATCATTCTTCACAGTATTAGGCCTTGAAAAGCTGACTTGATACAATTAGGGAGGCTACGAAGTAAAAGGCCTTCCAGCCAACTACATATCAAGCATTAACTTGCTGACCACTGTTTACATTCTGTTGGCAGGTGAGAGCTTGATTTTTGTATCTGCAAAAGTACTGTGAGCATCCTGATTACAACTAGAGTTTGAAAATATATTTGCCCAAATTCTGTTAAACGTACTTCAGGGGTCGTCTTGTCTCTTGAATGTTTCAAAACCCATTTCAAATAAGGGAAGATTGCTCATAATTAGATGTTGTCTTGGGCAAGAAGAAATGGCTGAGATAAGTAGGTTAAACTGCTTTCTTTGAAGGTGGGGGAGGGAAAGTGGGTGGAGTTTGATTTCCCTCTTCTATTTTTATGTGAATTGATGAGTCAGTATTTAAGATCTGCAGTTGGAATGCCAGCTTGTAATGGATCATCAGTAACTTCTTAAATGTGTCTTCATTCTCCAGATAATTCAATATGACTCCTATTAATTACTAATAATACTTATCTGCTTGTGAATGGGAAGTGAGAATTATCCTGGTTTTTCTTGAAATTGAATTGGGCTCCTGAAGCTTTATTTCAAGTTATGTTAATGCATTACAAAAACTGCTGTTAAGGATCTATTCCTATAGCCTTTTGATTGAGCTGACTATTTAGTGTCTTTGCCAAATCCGAGAGTTGTTTTCAGTTTCATTGTCTGTACATGCATGTATTTATACAAGGGGTTTGTGTGTGTGTGTGTTTTGGTGGAAGATGGAAGAAGGAAAATACGGTTGTTGGCTTGTATAGAATAATTAATGTCTCCATATTGCTATTTAAGAACAGTTTTTTTTTTGTATGAGGTTGATTCAATTATGTCTTCATCTCTTTGGAACTGGTTGAATGACTTGACATGAGATTAGGTGCAACAAAAGAGAAGGCCGAGGGAACAACAGCTGCCTTCCAGTTCTGAGGCACTATTGCGCTTAGCAGGAAGGCATTTTATCTTTTAGTGTTGTGTTGTCAGGTTTAAATGTTAAATATTTATATTCCCGTGAAAGGTTGTTAGACTCCACTTATATTTTTTTTTAAAAAGGCAAAACAAAACACTCCTGTATTTAGAGCCTTTTAAAAAATTTGGTGCCATAAATTTCATCCTTTTATTAAAAAAAAGTATACCTCATGTTCAAATATCAAATCTTGCTAAGTCTTAAGTTTACTGCTATTTTATCTGAAAAGAGCCACCACTAGTTTGTACTTGCTTGGCTGCTGTATGGTAGGAACTTTTTAAGGTGTGGCTTTAATGGCAGCTGACGATTCTTGCTTAGAAACAAATCTTATTTTGGGTATATGCTTCTTTGGAAATTCTCTTGGAGCTAAATAGCGATATAGAATAGTCTCTTTGAAAAAAAGATTCTTAATTTGAGTTCCTTTAAAAAAAATATCCATATGTCATTTTAAAGGAATTAAAGACATATCCCTACCCCACCCCCTAAATTCAGTCTAGTCTGCATACTATAAGAATTCTTTCCTTCAAAGGTTTGATGTAAACAATTTTGTAATAACCTGTAAATGCTGGAGATTGTATTTTTTGTGGATATATGCACGTTTTTAAACAATTAATTCTTTATGTTAATCCATGTTATAGTGTTATCTCTGGGGGGGGAGGTCTATTTTAATTAAATATTATTTGCAAAGTTGTGATCTAAAAGGTGAAATTTCAAAGAAAGGCTAGTATTCATGTGGATTTTAAGGAGATGGCTACTAGCTTCTTTAATGGAAATTGCATTAGATTCCAGATGGAGAGCTATGGATGGGTTGAAATATCTCCTTTGTTTTGGTGAGGAATGGAAAGGCATGGGGGTGGGGATATATGGGCTTGAAAAAGGAGATTTACTTCATTACTTCTCTTACACTGGTTTGTTTCATGTTGGATTCTTTATCAAACTTTTGCAAACCATTTTATGCATTACTTCAAGGTTGTTGTTAGATCCTGCATCCATCTGTAGAATGGCATTGTTTCAGGATTAATCTCTTTCTGACAAGTATAAGATCAAAGTGAGAGGCATACTTTATTTCTTTATCCTAATATTGTTACTTGAAAGTAAGTGCTTTGGCTTTTGGTGTGCCATACTCTCAAATAGTATGTTCAGGAACAGTGAAAATTCAAGTTATTAATTTCCCGCCCAAGGAGAGGAGGGGGGAAGAATAGAAAAGAGGATTGCAGGCCTTATTTGGCTTTCAATATTATGATAGCTATGTAAAACAGAGTCAATGTCAGTAAACTTTATAGGTTGAGGAAGTAGTAACATGACTTCATTTTAAAAAAATCTGGAAGAAGAAAAGAACCTGCTTTTGTAAACTTATAGAAGAATATAATGCATGCCACAAAATCTAAACCCATATTGCTAATTCTTACAGGAGAGAATGGCTTCTCCCTCCCTTTTCAATTTATAGTTGAAAATGACTAGTTTTCCTATCTTTAGGCAAGTTTGAAAAAGAAGGTTGACCTTTGAATTTAGTTGCTTCCACAAAGATTCAGGAAGATTAAATAACTGAAGCTGTTGGATGACCAGTTATTTATCTCATGTCATCCTTTGGTGTTTGAGCTTTTATTTAAATGTAGAAAATAGCACAGTTTTTCCCACAGCAGGGCTGTCATTATGGGATTCAGACCTTCCTTTATTCTCTTTTTGCCTGATTAGAACATCAGGAGTCCAATACAGTTGGTCCTTCCTGTCTTCTGCTTCACATAATTACATTTGCTATGCCTTTGGCACCAAAGATAATTATTCATAATGAATACTTTTTAGCATTTTTAATGACACTTGAATCTTGTGCAAGCCTTCAGCAATTGAGAATCAGGAATAAAATAATATTTGGGGGGGTGGGAAGGGTGATGATGTTTCAGAGATTTATGAATGCTGCTTTGAATTGGGAAAGTAAACATGTTGCTTTATTTTTGTTATTATGTGCTTATAGAAGTTTTATATTTTAAAAATGGGATGTGCAGTCAGTACAACTGTGTGTAAAAGCTTCACTATTGTAAATTGAGGTTTTCTTGTTCAAAGTTAGTGAGCTAGCAACACTTCTATTTTTATCTTCTTTCTAATATAAGGCCACATGTGGTTGTACTCCAAGTTAGTATTACAGTTGATAAGCAGTTGGCAGAATTCTTGCTTTATGCTTTGTTTTCAGTAAAGTTAGAGGATCTCATTTTGTCCAAAAATTTAGAGTTCCAAGAACATAAACTTTTAGTTGTTCAGCTGGTGAAGGGTTCACATCAACCATATTAATAGTTTTAAGTTAGCATCATCAGATGAAGCCAGAAAAATATTCTTGTTTGGGTTGAGGTAAATTGTAAGTGGAATTAATTATTTTCCACTATGGACTTAAATACACATGCTCATAGTGTTGTTCCACTCCTTAAAAAGCAATTACAGCATATTAGATAAATCATCTCCTCCTTCACTTTAACCCAGATAATTTTATAGCCTACTGGACTATAAATTGTCAACATTCAAAGTAAGAAGCCAAAATTAAAAGTAATATAATTTGAAATCAAGGCCTATTAATGCAACACTCTTCTATAGCAATTAATACTACTGAATATGTTGTAAGTTTGGAATAATTGTCTTTTATTTATACATGAGATGAATAACCTATTT